GATTTCGGTGAGGCCAGCATGCGCAACCGTAGGGTCTGTGGCTACTACTACTGCTTCGGTAGTCTCAGCGGGCGCCTCATTCTCAGGGGCAGCCTCAGGAGCAGCCTCAGCTGCAGGGAACGGGCTAACATGGGCCATAGCCGCAGCCTTGATTTGTCCGACTATTACAGGGATTAGCAGCTAGGCCAGAACTAGGAATTTGCTAGAGACAAACGTACATGTAGTTTGCAGCTCGTCACCAGTGACGCTGGTGGTCTTTTCGTCGGATCCCTCAATGAGCTTCAGCATAGTAGCAACTGCATGCTCATCCCCAGAGTAGACATTGAGCAATACCCCTTCCAGGGCCATGTTCTCGTCAAGACCACTATCAGCCTCCTCCGATCTTCGGGCGGCAGCCAGACGCAGGAATTGAGACAGAACAAGTAGGTTGTCATGCTGTGTCTTCTTGGCATCAGCCACAGCTTTCTCCTGGATCTCAGCGATAGCATCGGCCTTTTCCTTCTCCAGCTTCTCAGTTAGGGACTTCTCGAGGCTAGCCTTGTCGGTGGCGGCACGGGTCCGGTATTCGTCCTCAATCTTCTTATATTGAGCCAGCTGTTCTTCAGCCTGGGCAAGCTGGGATTCTAGCTGGGGTTTCTTGAGACGTTGGGCCTTCTGGTCGGGGTTGATTATCTTAGCTTCGACAAGTTCGTCTAGAGACTTTCCCTTATGCTGGGCAACTATGGAATCGGTCTTGGAAGCATTGGTCTGAGGGACAGAATATAGTTAGTTGTAGGCTGCATAGGCTGCGTGGGCTGCATGGAGTCAAAGGTCCAGGATTGGTGTTGCTTACAATTTTCTTGTTCAGGTTGCGGATGTTCCTAGGTAAGCGGGTTAGCATAGGTAGTAAGCAAGCAAGCAGGCTCTGGAGGGGGGCTTGAAAGAAGCTCGCGGTGACGAGGCTTACTTCTGCAATTCGCGAACGTAGGGGCTCTCAGAAGCATCATCCTGGCCATCTTGACCAGCAACAGATGCAGGGTTCTCAGAAGCAGGTGCAGGAGAGTCGATTTGCTCACTCTTGGCCTTCTTCTTCTTAGCCGACTTGCTCTCGGCCTGAACAGGAGGGTTCTGAACAGCAGGAGAAGGCATGGTGGAACAATTCGTAAGTAGGTACAGTTGGGTATTTATTTGTGCCTGGGCAGGACTCGGGTCGTGTGCTTCGGTGGCTGGTGGTGGTAGTAACAAGCAGTGGTGGTAGGTGGTGGTGGTAGTGGTGGTAGTAATAGTAATAGTAATAGTTTGTGTGGTGGTTGTAGTTGATTGTAGTGGCAGGTTTAAAAATTGGTATTGTACGAAAGCGGTTGGTTCAGGTAGCAAGGGGAGGGGGGAAAGGATAAAAGAATTCCAAGTACACTAAACCGGAGCTATAGTGTAGAGAGACAGTGGATGTAAAAAAGAGAAAAGGGAAGAAAAGAATAAGAAAAAAGAAAGATAGGTCAAGAAATGTTACAGTCTTATTTTATTTTTATTTTTTAGGTGTTTTGTTTGGTTTTATTTCTCCTTAGGCAATAGAGAAGAATTCAAAATATTACTTAGGTAAGGCAAAAGTAAGGTAGAATTTGGTAGGTGTTGTTTTTTGGTGTTGTTGTTTGGTGATGATGATGGTGGTAGTAATAGGAATGGTGACTTGATTAGATGGGAAGGGAGGAGGAGTGGGGGTTGTGGTTGTGGAGGGGCCAAGAGGAAAGGAAAAAAAAAAAAATAAGGTATGTAGCTGACAATGTAGTGTATGGATGGTCCAAGACTGGATTTGGGGGATTGGGATAAAAAAAAAGATGGGGACTTAAGGTGCGGGACGGATCTCGTCAAATGTTTTGCAGTCGTGCTTAACCTAGCAAGTAACATAGTCCAAGTCCCTGCCTTTTCTTTCTCTATTTACTACCACTTGTTGTTGCCATTGCCATTGCCGTAAAGTTTATTAAAATGTTAGTGCCCGTATTCCTTCCTCTAAGGCTACGCTACCTCCTTACCTAATGACTAACAACGAAACCCAAGGAAGCGCGCAGAACGATGCCGATCCGACATTGGTTGGTTTCACTTAAACATTAAACCTAAACAAAAAAAAAGATTCTGCCTAACCTTTAGGTAGAACTTTAAATTACCTTCCTGCTCATATAAAAAGTCAGTCTCGTGTTACCTTAGGGACATAGGTACATATACCTGGGTAGATTCAGTCGAGGTAGTCAAGGTTAGGCATTGAATCTACTCTACATGTACTGGACCTTACCTCCAAAGTACATAAAGCGTATACAAACAGTATCTTGGTACTTAGGTAGTATAGTTCTTGGCATCCATCTGCCTCAACTATACTCAATATTTTTATGTGTGTGTGTGCGTGTGTGTGTTCTTGATCCCACCACACTCCTAAACCCTAAGCACATGCCGTCTCATACCTCTGCTATTTCCATCCCTGGCTCAGACCTATACCTACATGTAGGTATACGTGGGGACCACCAATGCGGCTGGCGCCCCACCATGAGATAGATATGCAGCCAGCATCCAGGCTGTAAACTAGCCTAAGTGGGCAACCCTCGCAACCACTCATCACTACCTCCCATCATGACGTTGTCCGCCCCTCCCTCCTCTTCTTCTCTTCCCAGAGACATCGTGTTGTTGCGGGTATCTACTCTCGGCGTACGAGCTATGTTTTTATATCTGCGAATAACCGTATATTTGTATTACACTGATCGTGTTGTGTCGGGGGTTCGTTCGTGCTCGTCTTAAACTATCGTGCTCGGGCTTGTTTTATCCCTTAAACTTGGCAAGAGAATCCTTGAAACCCCCTCTCCGTCAGTCATTCACGTCAAGCAGGAAAAAAAGAAAGAGAGAGGATGTAGGAGAAACCATAAAACGCCGGACTAACCGCAGTTACTTTCTTGACACTCTTCGCGCTGATGCTTCGTTCACCCGCTTGCTTCGAGTCGATTGCCGCCTCCTTCATCAGACTATAATAGTTCGCAACGGACGGATCAAGTTAGAGATTCGAATCTAAACATCGTGACGGGAAATTCAACGATCGGTAGGGGAAGGAGATTCGTACGTTTGCATAAAGAGGGCGTAATCAAGGAACATCTAGCAGGAGCAGAGTCTTGTTAGCCTGAGTGCGTGATAGATAGATTCGAACGCGACTTTGGTGAGAGAAACTCTTGCCTCAAGCACAAGCACGCGCACGCGCACGCGAGCATCGGGGCTAGCTAACATACCATAACATCTACGTTCTTGCTGACATTGCATTTCGAATGGGCCTTGACGATCTTCTTCACCGTCGCCCTCGGGTACATCTTCTGTCCGGGAGCCATGGTAGATGATCGCGTGGGTTGGTGAGCTTGTTCGGATTTCTGATGCGAAGCATAAGGAGATCCAATCGAGATAGAGGATAAGATAAGAAGATGAAGATGTTTTGTTGACTTTTTTTAAAAGTAAGTCGTCCCGACCGTCAGCTGGCAGCCCCACTCGTCGCCACTATGTCGGTACTTGTATTGAAGTACCCCTAACCCAAAGGACCTTACCTAATGGGAGCTTGGGCCAACACCCACACTCACCTATCCATCCAATGTATGTATTACTAATAAACTTTATACCCTTCTCTTAGTAATCTTCTACAACTAGTACCTAGGTACAACCTCCATGCTAAGTTCAAGTTGTATCCGACGACCCGGACCATGATCTCACAGTAGTATACACGACAAAGCAAAGCGTATATACAAAGCTCAAGATTTTGTTTAGAAACTGTCTTCATTTCTCTCTTAAACCTCACATTTCCCCTGTGTATCCCTCTTATTCAGCCCCGTCTCCCCCCTTCGGAATAATCGGTGAAACTATTAAACTTTCATTTTTATCTCCGGTCGACCAATCAACAGACCATCCGGTGACCGATAGGGAAGGTCGTGGTACCGTCATCCATAAAACCCCAGCAAAGCCATAGCCTATTTACATACCCTACCGCGTACTAGTAAGTAGAACGCTTACAGTACTATTAGTAACTCGCTATCAAAAACGATACTTCTTCTTTCCCTTATTGTCATTGTCTTTTGGACTGTGCTAGCTCCTTGTGACGAGACCAAGGGATTGGCATTAAACCAACAACTGCCACCATTTCAGCTTTTGTTTCAAAAACCACGCAACCTCATAAACATTCTTACTACGGGGTAAGCTTAGTAAATAGAGGAAAACCACGTTACTCACATAAGAACTTAATATTGAACATGCTTCGAGGATCAAGGATTGATCAACCTTGCTATGTGTGACAGCCTCGATGTTTCTATCTAACCTAGCTTACGATCTTAAATGCAGCTAGTGTAATACCGACAACGACTTGGTACCCAAGATGTCCCGTTCCTTTCCTCAAGTGCTTCCATCAACCACCTATCCAAGACAACTTTCGTATGTTTTTGAATCCATAGTGAATAATTATACGACAACAGGGGGGCTTTGGTTGTTCAATGCTCTATCCATATTCGAACAACCTTCAAATAACATTGTGTGTGTCAGGGGTTAGGAAGGAACTGTGACAAGGGGTAATAGCTTGGAATAGTAGAGTTATATTTAACTAATAATTCTCCTATGGTCTCAAGGAGTCTTAAAGGTCTAAGTTCTCCTGGATCCCATGTCGAGAATTATGCTCCTATTTATACACATACAATCTGGCCTGAGGCATCTATTCCATTATGCAAGTTGGTTCTTCATGCATTCTCCATGAGCATGACCAATACAAGAGTGACCAATATAGGGTATCATATTTACTAACAAGCCTTGGCAGTGTCCACGTATGACAGGAACAAAGAGAGATACTTGTATATAGGTAAGAGTGACATCCATAGTTGTAGTCAGTTCCTCACACAACAATATATTGATTACCTAAGCACCTGCTTGGTCCCTCGTGACAGTGTGTTTTAATGTCAACGTGATGAATCCTCCGTGAAGAGAATGAGTATGGCAATACACAAGCAGATTTTCAACCGGGTCTCGTGGTGTAGTTGGTTATCACGTCAGTCTAACACACTGAAGGTCGCAGATTCGAGCTCTGCCGAGATCACAAGAACCAGCTAATGTGCTTCACTTGCAAGAGTTAGGATACAAAGCAGGATTTTCTTTTTCCAATTTTTTTTATCGTGGTGGGCGTCGAGAGATTGTTAGGTAAGGTAATTGGTGCGGCACTAAAAAGCATCAAGTGCGAACATTGAAATAGACATGTCGTATATAAAATGTGAGACTTGATAGGTTTAGATCTTTTTAAGTCGTTTACTTTTACAAAGAGCGCTTTAGGGACAAAACGTAAGGGATGGGGATTTGATATCACTGAACTGAGTATGACTTGTCAGAATATCGATCGAAATACTATAGTTGTATGGTAAAACCAAATAAAGTATCAAGTAAATTGTATTACATATCATTTAAGACGAGACGTATAAGCAGGTAAGTAGAAAGCAGTAGGTACGTATACACCTCTAAGTTAAGGCTGGCTATTGAGGACGTGATAATTCTACATATGAAAGCAAAACCACCCGCTTTCACTTAAGATGCTTCATAGTAATTTGCATAACACTTAAAACGTATTAAGTAAAGCTGATGGTTACCAACAACAAAGAACATATTTAAGCTGAAAAAATGTATAAATGAATTAAAAACAATAGCATTGAAATTTTCCCAGCATTAGACAAGTCTTTTGTTCTTTAAAGCGTCTTAGCTACTACCATTGCTCCCAGCCCTTTATCAATGCTTAAAGCTGTAGTTAAACAACGATTTTCACAAAAACATTGTTTTTTAAACAACGGTTTAATTAAGAGACTACCAGCCTGTTTAGCAACTTCTTTGTGTTAAACGCAATAGCTGTTCAGGGATGGCACCGACGACCTCATGGTTATAAATATTCCGGCTTCCTCCCTCGTTGCTCCAGATTCTCTTCTCTCATCATCATCATCATCATCATCATCATCATCATCATCATAACTATCACATACTCACAACACTCAATACAAAAGCTTCAACAACCTCCAGAGACTATAAACAGCAAACACTACATTAATCTTCAGAGAAGAGAGAAAAAAAAAATAGATAAAATCAACAAAAATCAGCAAAAAAAAAAAAAGAAAAAAGTAGGGGGGAAATCATCCATCCATCATGACTACCGCTATTATTAGAGGCTCTCGGGTGGTTCACGCTGAAGACCCGAACCTTCCACAATGGCCACACTATCGGCCCTCCACCGCTCGAGCTGATCCCATTGTTAGGCGGATTGTTGAAGCTCGCTGCGGCGAGCCTATTCTCGCTCTTCAATATGCTCAGCTCGGATCAGAGAGATATGTAGAGCCCAGGGTGATGGCGGAAGCGCTTTACTGGGAGCACCACAGCATGACCAACCAGGACATCGTTTCCACCCCATCGGTAGCCTTCCTGTCTCGGCTCTTCTCCGAGGACAACCAGACCTCCGACGCCGCTCGTACAGAGATCCAGGCCCACTTTACCCGGCAACGCGTCACCATGCAACCGATCTTCGGACCGATGCGTGACCGCGAATGGACGCTCATCATGTTCAACCGCGCCGGGCTCTACATCCCCGTCCTCCTGCGCATTCGTCCTCTTGACCCGCCCGTCGTGGTCCACGCAAACGACGGATCCGGGGACGTAGTCGGCTTCTTTGACAGAATCGTGACCGATACCCTGGTCGCCGACCCCTACGCCCCCGCCGACCTCGACGCCGCCCAGCAGGCCGTCGCCCGCGGCCGACGCCGCGGCCTCGTGCTGGACGAGCTGGTCAACTTCCTGTTCCACGGGTGCATCCAGTTCGACCCCACCGACGCGTCGGTCAACCGGGTCGTGATGCTGGGGCTCCTCCCCGAGCCCATCGACTACAACACGGGGTCGATCGCCTACGGGGTCAGCGTCGAGCTGCTGGCGCGCCTGCGCCGGCTGGCCTGGCTCCGCCAGTTCGCCGGCCCCGGGTACGTCGAGAACTTCAACAACGAGGTCTTCGGCCCCTTCAACCAGCAGTACAACTACCAGCGCTGGCTGTCCCAGATGCGGGGCGCGTGCGCGCAGAGGGCCGTCGAGCTCTCCGACTACCGCACCCGCATCGCCGTCGAGCTGCCCGCCGCCAACTCGCTCCACGCCACGGCCCGGCTCAACCCCGCGCAGACCCACCACGGCATCATCGCCACGCTGCCGGACGAGCGGCATGTGCGGGCGAGCGATGCGGCGCCCGCCATTTTCGTCGACATCCAGCCCCCGGGTAATCTGATTCCGTTCAATAACATCGGGGACTCGGATAGCAGCGACAGCGATAGTTCGGATTCGGATTCTGACAGCAGCGGTGGCGGCGGCGGCCCTCCTGGCGATGACGACGCAGCTATGAGTGATGACGATTCTGATTTTGGTGTCCCCCCTGACGGCTTTGCCGGTGTCGGCGCCGGTGGACCTCCTGTTTTCGCCGCCGGTCTTGGAGTACCTCCTGGCGGTTTTAGACGCCCTGATGGCCCTTTTGGCGCTGGCGGTCTTGGATTATTTCCTGGAGGCGGGTTTGGAGGCCCTGGTTTTGGAGCACCTTTTGGAGTACCTCCTGGTGGCCCTGGTGGCCCTGGTTTTAGAGTACCTTTTGGAGTACCTCCTGGTGGCCCTGGTTTTGTCCCTGGCCCTCTCCATGGGCTCGGCGGCGGCGATAGTTCTAGTTCCAGTGCACACGATGCTAGTTCTAGTAGTTCTAGTAGTTCTAGCAGTTCTGGCGGTTCTGGCGGTGGCGGCGCTAGTGGACCTCCCGGTGGCGGTGGTTCTGGCGGCGCTGGCGGCGCTGGTGACGGTTTTGGCGGTGGCGGTGGGTTCGGCGGTGGCGGTGCTGGTAGTGATGGAGATGACGATGATAGTGATGATGGAGATGACGATGATAGTGATGATGGAGACGACGATGATGGCACTGGTAATGGGGGAGGCGGTGTCGTTCTAAGAGGAGGAGCCAGCAAATCTAAACGCAGTCAAATCAAAGGTCTGTTCGGCGGCAAGGGACCTAGTGTGAACGCCCTCGGGTCCTCTAGTTCCGCCGGCCCTGTCCGAACCGGTAAGCAAAAAACGCAGCCGAAGCGAAAGACCCCATACGGGCGCAAGGCTGAGAGAAAGGGTGCGAGCGATGATTCGGAAGCGGGTGTTGCGACAGACAAGGAGGCCAAAAAGCCTCGTAAGCGACCCACCATTCTTCCTCCGCTGAACGAGCCCGAACCTGGGTCTAAGGCTGCTGGCTCGGGAAAGCGGAAGCGAAGTGGCAAGCAAGGGGGTAGTAAGGGCAAGAAGCCTAAGAAATAAGGGGTCTCTTGCTCTTATACGAACAACAGCTCGTCCCTTAGCTGTGCCCGTGTCAATCTAGAAAAAGTGATAAGGTGAGTCACAAGCACAAAGACTGAAACTGACCTTCCAGGGCACGACGAATCGAGTGGACATATTGACACTGGCACTGTGGTGTTACATGGGGGTGCGCCGATAAGGGGTTTTCAACAGCTAAGTTTTATTTCCTTTTCTCTCTTGTTTTATGTTTGCTATTGATTTATTTCCTTCTTTGTCCTTGTTTCCTGTTCTCTCCCCTGAAAAGAAAAATGATAGAAAAAAAAAAGATAAAACTCACCGCAAGTTCAAAAAAAAAACCGTTTATAGCAATGATACAAATAGATAATCGAACAAATGCTCCTATATATCATTATTGATCAGTAATTTAGAATATGCGGGTGACATGAAGTTCTTGTGCTATACCTAAAGACACAAAGCTAAATAATAAACAAAGAGACCAAAAGTAACAACTCCATATAGCATGACTTCTATTTAATTACTATCTTCGCTTTTTTTAATTTGAAACAAATTTTACTAAAATGTACAATACCTATCCTCTAAAAATATCAATATTAATCAACAAAAGCTCCTATATCAAGAGCCTTGAAAACAAACGTAAAATTGAGTTGTCCAAAGTGACTTGTAGTAAGCGCTTATTCACAAGAAATATGATTATTTCTCATACCTAAATACCATAACTATAATTGGACGTCTTGGAATACCCCCCCTCCCCCTTAAGCGGCCACAGATAAATGATTCAAACCAACCATAACTACTTTTTCCTCATTTCAAAGACATGCACAAACAGTGCTCATCATGCAATTTCTCCCCTACTTACCCCTCCTCTCCTTCTTTTATATTCTTTGTGCGCATGTGCAGATAACGCGAGTCTAGGAAAGAAAGGAGATGTGTATGAGAATAGAGGTTTTGTTTAGCGCCAATAAATCCCCTTAGAGGTTTTATATCCATTAGATTTGGAGTTGGCAAGGCCCTGGTTGGGTGATTCTTACGGAGTTGATATCTTTGAGTAGCGTGACGACAAGACTTAGTATTGTTAAGGAAGAGCCACATAATCCCACCATAACATGTCGTAGTGTCGGGATATAGGAATGATAGAGTATTCAATACGTAGCAGCATATAGCCATTATTAGAGAGGCAAAGAGACGGTTTCTAGATATAAGTAACAGTCATCCAGATAGTTGTAGTTTCTATTTTCCTATACAACATTATCGTGATTACTTAAGATGTTGCTTAGACCTTGTTTGAAACATTTTTTGATCTTCCTCATATGCGCTCCTCTTTATTAGGTGTGATAGTCTATGGGATACAAGGCAGTACGTCTCCCACAAGGAACACAAAGAGTGTTTGACGTATAAGTAACAGTAATAGAAGTTGTTGTAGTTCTAATTTGCCACACAAAAACATTTTGATTACCTAAGCCCGAATGCCATAAGGATACATACAAATCATGAATGCACAAACCTGATCTGATAATCATTATATTTACGCGATTTTCGACTAGGTATATCTCACTTTAGAAAGCCATAGAATCCGATTCGTGTCTGCCTCATATAAAATATCCAGTCTTGTCGATTTCCCTTTTGGGCCACTGTTTAGCTTCCAGGAAATAGCACCGTGTAGGCTACATCGACTAAACAACCAATCAAGTTCTCTCTCTCTCTTCGACTGGTTCAACATCAGTTCTTGGCACAAACCTTCTCACTTAC